AAAAGGGTTCATCTTTGTTGTTTATACCTCCCATATACCTCTCTATGTTTTCCTCTTCCTCAGTGCCACCATGTTGATCACTCATATTTAGTACATTGCCCTTCTCTTCACCCAAATCAATACTTATCTCTACCTATCTAACGGTATTCCCTACCGTCTCCTCCCACCCATGGTAACCCAACAAAGAAAGCTTCCTTCCATATATAAACTTTTCCTTGACTCTTCAATAATGGACTAATACAATATTTGTCTTTCTGTGACTGACTTATTTCACTCAGCATAATATCCTCCAAGTTAATCCACATCATGCAGTGTTTTGCAGATTTTATGGTATTCTTGAGGGTTGCATAGTATTCCATTATTTGTATGTACCATAGTTTGAGTATTCATTCCTCAGTTGATAGACACCTAGGTTGTTTCCATCTTTTTGCTATTGTAAATAGTGGTACAATGAACATGGGTGTGCCTATATCTGTTCTTGTCATGGCTCTCACTTCTTTAGGATATATACCTAGTAATGGAATGGCTGGGTCAAATGATATTTCTAATTCCAACTTTTTAAGGAATCGCCATACTGCTTTCCACAGTGGTTGTACCATTTTACAGTCACACGAGTAGTGTATGAGAGTCCCAATCTCTCTGCATCCTTTCCAGTGTTGTTATTTTCTGTCTTGTTGAACTTCCTCATATTATGTTCTTATGCTTTTGCTTAGCTTTTGCTCAGGTACAGATTGATTTCCAATCAGTTGGCCAAGTAGCTGTGTTCCAAATTTCTTGGCAAAAATGAATGAGTGCCTCCACTGCTTCATCTCTTTGTTGAAACATCTCACATGGTATTCCATTGTTTCCTGGAGCCTTGATTTTCATCAGTGTGTTCAATACAGCTTGGACTTCTTCCTTCAGGATTATCCATTCTTGATCATATGCTACCTCCTCATATGGCTGAACGTTGACTAATTCTTTTTGGTACATATATTTTTTCTATCATTTTTTTTTTTTAGTTATTTATTTAATTTTTATTAAAATGCTGTTGTTAGGTGCTGCCAAGTGATTTGGTTGAAAATTTGCAGAGCAAATTCATTTTTCGTACAGCAGTTCATATTTTTGCCTCATGACATTCACTGCAATTTTCCAGTTTAACAGCTCTCTTTCTATTTCCTCCCTGTAGTTACTCTTCCCTGTGTCCTTCCCTCCCATGAGCTCCCACCCCTGAGCTGTCTCCCTGTGCATACCCTGCCCTTCTGTTCTCCCATGATTGATCACTGCAAGTCATACGTCTACCTAATGTAAATGTTCACCCCATTTGGCTGGAAGCCACAAGAGTGAGTTCAATTACAGATCTGAAGGGTAGCTAAGGGCCATAGTCTTGGGTCTCATTAGACTCTATCAGACCAGCAAACCTCATTTTTTTTTTTTATGGTTTTGAGTTTTGTTCCACATTGTTCTCCCACTCTATCCAGGACCTCTTGCACCAATTCCCCTTCAACCCCCCTCCGAGTGGTTGACAATAGTAGCCGGGCACCATCTAGTTCTTCTGGTCTCGTGGTCATACAGGCTGAGGAATGCATGGTCTACCAGTCCCTTGACTAATTGTTTCCTTGCATCTTTGGTTTCCTTCACCTTCCATCTTTTGATGCTTCCTGCATCATTCAATATTTGGCCATAGAGTCCTTCAGTATTACAACTTGAGGCTTAAATTTTTTCTTCAGTCCTTTCAGCTTGAGAAATGACAAGTGTGTGTTTTTTTCTTTCCTGTCTTTTTTGTGACCTTTTGCTTTATTCATGTATAAGGGCCTTGATGTCATCTCACACTCTTTTGGTCTCATTCAGTCATTAGTGTTTTGTGTGTCAAATAAAAATTCAAGTGGGGTATATTCAAGCTCATGTATTCAAGAAGAAGGAATAATACTTTAAAATACCTACTTCATAAAGTATGTCTGTCTTCAGACTCTAATTTGAAGTTTATTTTATAATCCAAAAGCTGTTAGTACTTTGTAGTCAGTTTTTTTAATAGAGAAAAGTAAAGAAACATGGGTAACAGTTAAAAATTGTTTTTAATCCAAAGATGAACCCTTTTGCACATACAGTACTGTGTTGTCAGTGAAGGCAAACATGGGTATATTGGTGGATAGATGGGTGTACAGGCTGAATTATTAGGTATGTCTATAAACTGGGAAACTGGGGAGTATATCCAAGAATATGTATAGGGTTGTCAGACAATGGTCCTATAAGTTTATGTGAATGATCAGAATTCCCAGGTGTATAGTAGAGTTGACAAGGGGCAAGGTTGTGGTCACTGCTTGGTCACAGCCAGCCACCCACAGGGACCGAGTTTTGTTCCACATTGTTCTCCCACTCTATCCAGGATCTCTTGCACCAATTCACCTTCAGTCCCCCTCTTGGGCTTGGGACCATAGTCGCAGGGGACATCAAGCTCAATTGGCATAACATACTATACAAAACATTGTTCCACCTCCTACTTTGGCGAGTAGCGACTGGGATCTTAAAAGCTAGTAAGCTTCCATCTAGATGCAACAATGGGTCTCTCCTCATCCAGCGCAAAGAAGAATGAAGAAAACCAAAATTCATGGAAACAATTAGTCCTAGCGACTGGTACACCATCTGATCTGCAGCCTATATGACTATGAGACCAGAAGAACTAGATGGTACCCGGCTACCACTATCATCCACTTGGAAGGGGATCTATGTAGGAGATCCTTGATAGAGAGGGAGAACAATGTGGAACAAAACTCTAAATCATTTGGAGAAAAACAAAAGGTGGGGGACCAGGTTTACTGGTCCGATAGAGCCTGGTGGAAGCACTGAGACTATGGCCCCTAGCTGCCCTTCAGGTCTGGAATTGAACCCACACCTATGGTTTCCAGCCAAACAAAAGACAGGCATATGACTTGAACATTTATCTCAGGTAGATATATTCTTTGGAGAGAACGATCATGGGAGAAAGAAGGGCTGCTTATGCACAGCGAGACAGTTCAGGGGCAGGAGTGTATCCAGGGATGGACACTGAGAAGAGGTAACTATGGGGAGGAAGCGGAGGGGAGCTGTTGCATTGTGGTAAACTGTGATCAATGTCATGAGACAAAGTGTATGTGAACTGCTGTATGGAAAGTGAATTTGCTCTGTAAATCTTCACCCAAATCACAATTTAAAAAAAAAAAAAAAATTGTTTTTAATCAAAATTAAATTTTCTTAGACATATTTCATTTTCTCAGAAATCAATTTTGAAGTTAAAATTACAGATTTGTCATGAAATTTTACTTTGCTGTTATAGAAATAGTTTAGAATGGATGCTTTCCTGAATATCAGTTTTGTGATCCTAGGTTGATGGTCAGAAAATGCTGGGGATAGAAAATGAAAACCTTGGCCACTGGTTGCTGCAAGAAAGTACAATTAGAACTAGACATTGGGACTAATATTTTAAAATATTTTTTGCATATTCATAGTCACTAAGAATAAGTAAGGTATTATTTTGTTTATTGAGTCATATTTCAGAATGATTTGGTTCTATTTATAATCAACTATGGGAGCTCTGGTAGCACAGTGCCTAAGGCACTTGATTGCTAACCAGAAGGTTGGCATTTCAAACCCACCAGCCACTCCTCGGAGAAAACATGGAGCAATCTACTTCCGTAGTGAAACTGCGTCAAACCCAAGGAGGTGTCGCTATGAGTTGGGTCCGACTCGACGGCCCATAACAACAACAACATAATCAAATATATTTAAAAAATACATTTGAGTACCAGAAATAAAGCAACAACATTGCAGATGTATCCTGTGGTCTGGCAGAGAAAATAGGTAGCGTACATTTATTTGCAAGTGTTACGAGTGTCACAAAGTGGAAGTACAAGGAACAGTGGTAATAATGATGTTTCTTAACCTAGAATGAGGGGCATAGAAAGCACAACTGATGAAGTAATATTTAAATCATGACCTAATGGATGAAGAAAGGCAAGAAGAAATTAGAAGGGAACTACATAAAACTTGGAGATTGTTTTACTTTATTTATTAATTAATATTTTCTTTTCCAAAAATGTGATTAATTTGAATCCAAATCGATACAGTTGTTTTTTAAAAATTTAGTCATTTTTATTTGTTTAGTTATACTTGGCATATTGTAAATTATTTTGAAAGTAAGGTTATATATGTATTCCAGAATCCTTTGTGACCAGTAGAAAATTCAGTTTTTGGAAATATCTACTCATCAAAACTTAGAATTATATGATGCTTGGGAAACAGAAATGAGGTTTTCCATGGTCATCTTGCTAGAAGCTTCTAAATTCCCTGAAAAGCTAACAGACAAATTATAGGGCTTAGGTTGGACATTTCATTTATTCAGACAGAATTTTGTTTCCTGTAAGTTTTATCCCAGTAAACTGTGACCTTTTTTTTTGTTTTTTTCTTGACCACTCTTAAGATTGAGAATAATTTCTGTATTCTCTATTATGAGCATGGATTAATTGAGATCATTTATTTGATCATTCTTAAATATATTCTTCAACTACGAATTTTTCGTATTTTTTATACTTCACAGCGTTCAATGTGATTCATTTGCTTGTGTATTAAATTGTATTTCACGCCCAATTGATGTTTTATTAACCCTGCCTTACTTACTTAGTGATAAATGTATAAGGGTAAAATATATTAGAGGGAAAAATGTTTTCCAAAAATATCGGCACACATTTAGTGCCAGATGTTACTGTTATCTTCATTTTCTGATAAAATTCAAATTTTTAAAGTTCCATTGTAACCACAAGTGAATTAGTACTTGACTTTTCTCACTAAAAAATGGAAAGCAGTGAAAATCAAAACAGTTTTAGTGGTTTCTCAGAATTGCTACTTTTATCTCTTAGCATCCTTTAAAGTCAAGTGAAAAGGGTATTTTCATTGGAAACTGAATTTTATGAACTTGAAAATGTTAGGAAACCTGAACAAAAAGATACATTTTTTTTTTAAATATATGTTTTTATATTTTATTTTAGCATCTTCTATGTGAGCAACACAGAAACTTTGCACAGAGCAACCAGTATCAAATTGTTGATGACATCATATCTAAGTTAGTTTTTGACTTTGTTGAATATGAAAGGGACACACCTAAAAAGAAAAGGTAATTTAGCAATACAATTTTAATGATTATTTTATTAAACTCATTGTAAATACAAAATTTGATGTTCTTAGAAGGACTTTGTATTATAACGATATAATTATGCTTAAGAAATAATTATTTCTTCCATCTTTTCCTCACCCTATTACCAAAAGTGCTTACTTCAGATTACTTTTAAGGTCTGCTTGACAATAAAGTTTAGTGCAGGAGTTGGCAAGTTTTATTTCTTTTGTGTGTGTGTGCCAGGTAGTATTTTATGCTTTATGAGACATAGGTCTCTTTCGCAACCACTAGACTTTGCCATTGTTGTATGAAAGCAGCCACAGACAGTATGTTCCGGTAAAACTATTTAGAAAAATAGACAGCAGGCTAGATTTGCTTTGCAGGCCAAAATTTGTCATTTCTGATCTACAATTACAAAGTTTTAATTTTTTCAGGCTAAAAAGGCTCACAATTTTTAGAAAATCTTAAAAGGTTTTTATAAAAAACCTTTTGCCACTTGCCTCTCATTTCATCGTCTTTCACTAAATCTCTCTCCTTAGTCTGTTCTTTCTACTAAAATTTACTAAAGGTACTGATAGGACTTTTATATGTGAATAGATTGCATTTAATGTACAACTACACACTGATAAAACAGTACTAGTTTGATTATTCCCATAAATCTAAAATAAGAGAAAGAAATGCTTTCATATTTATATACTGATAGATGAAAACTGCTAGGTTATTCAGTTCTTAGTATTTTTAGATTAATCTTAAGACATAAAGATGATTAGAAAATTTGATACCAAGATATAGCTTCTGGAAAATATCTAGAAAGCTTTTTGGCTACATGTAGGTAAAATACTTCTTAAACCTCAAATTTCTGCAACATTCAGAATGGTTGCTCATGACTGATTTAATAATACAGCATTTTGAGAGGAAGTATATTTCCAACTATTAAAACTGTTGGCTACTGTAAGAATTTAAATTTCCCTAAAAACATTCTATAGTAAAATTCTGAACTAGTATTTATATTTGTAAGCTATCTTCATTAATCACTTACGTTAATTATACTTTATTATTTGCACTATTTTTACCTCTGTTGGTAAATCACCTAGACTTCTCTGGACAAAGGAAAGAGCAGTGTTGGATTAGTTCCCCCCTCCTCCCTGCCCTCACTTGTTCAAAGGGAATCATGAAGTATAAACAAAACAAATGTAAAAAGAGCCATTCTGGTTGAAGGGACAGGTAGAGTTCTACATTTCTCAGTGTTAATCTGTGTCGTGTGTAAAAACAATTGGTGAGCTGTTAACTTTCTATGCTTATGTAATCTAATATAAACTAGCATCTAAGGATATCAAGATGCTCCAGGAAGTAAAGGGTTTCAGGTCAGATGTGTTTGTGAAACTTAAGTATTGCTAGTTTTTCTTCTTTAGAAATACAGTTACCAAGTTGTCAACTTAATTTGAATTTAAATATAATTTAAATATAAATTAAAATGTTTCTGCTTTAGTTTTCAAAAAAACCACTCACATTGCTATGTAAAATAAGGAAATGAGCATTTGTGTAAATCAAAGCACATAAATTATGAACTATTTCAAGATAATGAAAACAAAATTAGTGACAGATCCCAATCACTTTATTATCATTTTTCTTTGATTTACATGAGTACAAGTAGTTTTAAACCCAAAGCCAAATATTTGTTACCTCTGTGAGGGAGTGGAAGAATGCAGATGAGAAAGAAGTACCCTAATGTTGTCAGTTTTACATGTGGAAAGTTTTATTACTTCAAAAATATCTAAAGTAAATTTGGGAAACGTTAAGATTTCTGTGCTTCTGTAATAGTTTTGTGAGTTAAATAAGTATGCAAAATAGTTTTAAATTTTTCTAATTTAATTTTTAACTATTACTTACGTTGATCGCAATTCTTTTAACTTTCTTCTTTTCTCCTCTACAAAGAGTAAAATACAGTGTTGCATCCCTTTTTCCTCTTACTACAAATGTCTTTAAGAAGACTGAACCAAAAGAACAGCTAGAATTGCAGCATATGCCTCAGAGTGACTTTGGAGGAAATAATATTATACAGGTGATCGAGCAGAATTTCCTGTATAAAGAAACCCAAGAACCTCAACAAGAACTTACGTTCATTTCAGAACCTTCCCTTTGTCTTTCAAATGAGCCAAGAGAACTTGAGAAAAAGACTAGTAAATGTTCCATATTAAATATAACAGAAAATGACATAAAACAGAATTTTACACAGCTGCCTTTACAGAAAAATAAACAAGGATGTATTCTTGATGTTTCTGAACATAAATTAATTACAAATGAAAGTAACTTAGAAGAACTAAAGGTGAATCACTGTCCATATAGACTACAGACATCTACACTAGTTTTCAATTGCAATAACATTAGTAGTGCATCTCAACTGACACAAAAGTCAGATACTGTCCTTTTTCCAGCAAAGGATCTGAAGGAAAAAAACCTTAACTCAGTATTTGGTCATGATTGTGGTCTGATAGCAACAAACAGTTCACAAGAGCACCTAACAATTCAAGAAAAGATTCCATCCCATAACCCTCCTGAGGAATCCAATGGATGTAACCTCAAGAATGTGGATAGTTTACCTCAAGAATATAGTAAAATCCACCGGAAAGTGAAATTATTCTTAGGAAGAAATAAAAAAGGAAATCTGGAACCAAATAAGAAAAAAGATGAATTTCTTATTACAGAAGAAGAAAACAGACTTTGTAGTTCACCAGTACAATCTTTATTGGAATTATTTCAGACTAGTGAAGAGAAATCAGAATTTTTGGGTTTTACAAGCTATCCTGAAAACAGTGGTACATGTGATGCTTTAGATATTTGGGAAGAAGAAAACTCAAGTAATCTGTTGTCAATGTTTTTTTCTTCCCCTTCAAATTCTACATTTACTGGCTTTTAATCTTTTAAAAATACATACTTTTTAGAAGTGATAAGGATCATATTCTTGAAATCTTTATAAATATGTGTAAAAATTCTTAGGGTATTTTTGCCAACTTTGTTTACAGAACCATATGTAAATATTAAAAGTAAAGGTAATATTTGTATTTTTCTATAAAATTGAATACCTATTATAGAAAAATTGTAGGATAAAGTTCTAATTTTGCCTACTGTGTTCATAATTGTTTCCTAAGAATTTTTATGAATAATAATGTAGTTTGCTTTATGTCATTGAAAACTGTTTGAATGTTAAATGGACTCCTATGATAACATGACAATATCAGTTATCGTCTATAAGAACCTAAATTTCATATGGAAAAGAACAGATTTTCTATATTTGGATTTTGGAAATCATTATCAGATATATGGACACTTGTAAAAGTGTATTTTTGTATTTCTTGGCAAATGAGATATAGTTTATATTGGCAATATTTTAAATTTAAAGGATGCAAATATATATCTAGTCCATGTTCTTACTGAAATGGAATTTTTAAGCTATCTATGCTGGTGATTTTTTTTTTTTTT